CACCTGACAACAACAACAACAACCTACAAATGTCTATCTTCCATCAATGAAACTTTATTTTTTTGTAAATAGGGTCTTGGAAGATGTTATCAAAACTTAGCAAGTATACAGTTAAGACATATGCTTTATTATAAGTACATTTTAACTCAAAGGGGGAAAAAGAAACCTATTTTAAGAAATGAACTCTACCTAATGATATGTAGCTGAAGTATTTAGAAATAGGATATAATGACTACAATATATGGAGCCCTGGTGATGCAGTGGCTAAAGTGCTTTGGTGTTAACTAAAAGTTTGGTATTGGAACCCACCAGCTGATGGGGTGCTGTATGATAAACACTGGATTGCAACGTCACTTTGAACCACAAGGCCAGTGACCTTTGGAAATTGCTCTTTGGAAACCCTGCACAGGGTCGCTATGAGTCGGAATGGACTCTAAGGCACTCAACAACAATAACAACAGCAGCAGCACCTGTACCATGAGAGAAAGATGTGGTCGTCCGCTTCCAAAAAGAAAACCTTATAGGGCAGGCAGTTCCACTCTGTCCTTGTCAGAATTGATTGGACAGAAATAGAATTTTCAGGGGCCATATAGTTTACTTGTAAATATAAAGTAAAGTAAGATGGGTTAGTTAAACAAGTGTAGTAGAATCTAGGTGGTTCGTAATCAAACGTTCATTGTAAAATTCTTTTACTTTTCTGTTTATTTGAAGTTCTTCATCATAAAGTGGGCAATCAATCATTAGAAAGAAACATCTTTCCAAAATATGATATTTTGACCCAGAATATCTAAGGAACAAAACATCAATAGGAAAATAAGGAAAATTCTAACAGAAAATAAGGCAAAAGATCTTCAGAGTAAAGACCAATGCCAATACCTGAAAAGATCGTTTTCCTACTTGTAAATAATTACAATAACACCAATACCTGTTTCTACCTACCAGACTGGTATCAACATCTGACTCTCTGGCTGAGTGTTAGGGCGTGAGGAGGTTGTGCGGACTGGAGCTGCCATTTGGTTCTTTGGAAGTGTCTGTTGAAATTGATAAAGCACTTCTCTGTCTGCCATCCAAGAAAACCCCCTGCATGCTGGCGAGGAGGAGCAGAAGGCTGTGATACAGAGTTGTCCACAGGCAGGATACCATGAATGAGCCCTACCGGTGCTGTGGCTTGTGATATAGTAGTGTGCCTCCACAGAAAGCTCTTTGAACTGCTGCTAAATGAGAACCACTGCAGACACGTACACACATGTGCGCTGCACAGAAAACATCAAATCTTAAAATGCATTTCAAAATAACTTGAAAACATCAGTACGGTGGTGGTGGTGTGCTGTGGAGTTGCTTCTGACTCACAGCAACCCCTGTACAGGGTTTCTGAGGCTGTAAATCTTTACGGGAGCAGAAAACCTCATCTTTCTCCTGTGGAACAGCTGCGAGTTTCAAACTGCTAACCTTGAGGTTAGCAGCCTGACTCATAACCACTCCGCTACCAGAGCTCCTTAAACATCAGTATTGTTGTTATTAAGTGCTGTTGAGTTGGTTCCAACCCATAACAACCCTGTATAGGGTTTCCGAGGAGCAGCTGGTGAGCTTGAACCGCCGACTTTGCGGTTGAAACGGCTTTGCAGTCCAGGACAACATCAGTATAGTTCACTTTAAACACTTCAAAAATTATATGTAATCGCTAAAGGTAACAATATTTGCTTAAGATTCTTCTTAATTTTTTTAAAGATAAAATTAACATATTATTGTTATTAAGTGTCCTCAAGTCAGTTTTGTCTCATAGTGACCCTGTATAAGGTTTCCAAGGATTGGTTGGTGTGTTTGAACTGCTGACCTTGTGGTTAGCATTCCAGTGCTTATCGTTCAGTGCCACACCAGAACTCCAAATGAACAAAGGATGGTGGTGGTGGTTGTGTGTCGTGGAGTCAGTTAGACTTATAGCGACCCTGTATAGGGTTTATGAGGCTGTAAATCTGTGGGGGAGCAGAAAGCCTCATCTCTCTCTGTGGAATGACTGATAGTTTCGAACTGCTGACCTTGAGGTTAGCAGCCTGACATGTAACCACTTACTCTACCAGAGCTCCTTTGGTACAAATCTTAAGGATGCTATCTGGTGAGTTTTTACAGCTGTGTACATCTGTGTAACCTGAATTTCTATTTGATACAGCAAAAACCATTACTCAGGAAAATCCCTAATGCTTCTTCCCAGTCTCTATCTCTGTTCTACCCTTCTTCTGTTTTTATGTACATTTTCACCGTAGGTTAGTTTTGCCTGTTCTAGGGCATCATGTATATAGAATCATAAGGATATACTTCTTTTTTTTTTTTTTGAGGTACAAATTATATATTTGTACTTACAAGGTTTTTTTGTTTTTTTTTTAAGTTTTTATTGAGAAAACTAACCCATGTGTTAGTTAACATGGGTGAACATTATCTTTACATTCATCCTATCGTATTTTGTTTCAGTGCAGTGTTCACAATCCCCATGCATGCATCATCAAACAACCAAAGGGTACATCCCACATGCCTGCTCCTTGGCCACCAGCCCACAGCCCCTCTCGCTCCCTGAGTTCAGAGTCCCCAGCCGCTCCTTCTGTCCATGCCATCTTCTCTGTCTCCATCCCTAGTGTCACTGCCTTCCCG